TTGACGCTCAAACCAAGGAGACCTCTCACCCACATCCCAGAGGGTTGTACCGACTCTCTGTGGCACCCTCAACTATATTTAAGATATTGTTCATTGTTCTTGTAAATAAAACTGTAATTAGTCTCTTGTGACTCCTCTCTTTGCTGACTAATTCCCCCAAGAAAACCAGAACATCATTTGGAAAGTTTTGAACATCAGAAGAGAACCATAATGCTAAAAACAAATGCCAAATTTTGTTACAGTTTGAACAAAAATGGCAGATAAATGGCCAGAAATTGATTTTTCAATATGGCTGCTATATGAGTGAGTGAATGAGTTGGGTTTAACTCTGCTTTTAACAGTATTCCAGTTATATCGCGGCGTGTCAGCTAAATGTAGGAGGAAAGCCCAAAGTGATGCATGTCTCAGACGTTTACCACTTCCGTGAAATCCACGAGCACGGGTATGGTGCTGACAAACCTAGAAACATAATCAGGGTGAACCGGGATTCGAACCCAAAATCAAAGGTTTCTGGCGTGCCAAAGGGACGCATCTCTACATAGCCAATCGCGGTGCCTTAGACGACTGGGCCATCCGTGCCCCCTGCTGCTATATGAACCTCTGCCAACAACTAAGGGTGTTATTTTAGTGGGATCAAGCATGTGAAACTTTAGGCTCATTGGTCTAATGATTTCTGAGCAGAATATATTTACAGGATGGGGAAATGCATTTTGAGGGAATTTAAGAGCATGGTAAAGGTCAAAGAAAGATCAAAATTTGAAAATAAGGTGAAAAAGAGAAGACGTGTGTTGAGCACCCACAACTAATGTTTGATTACATTTTGAAAAGAAATGGCTCAGTAATGGCCATTAGAAATTTCAGTGTTAATTTCAGTGCTTAAACCAAGGTCAAAATATCACCCAAACCACAACATATCTATTGATCCCAACTACTAACTACACACGTACTAAGTTTCATTCCACTGCGGCTGAAAAAGCTTTCACAATAAGGCTGCTGTGGCAGTCATGTTGAACACTGGATTAAACATTATGGATGTCATCATTGGTAGTATCAAACGTAAAAATTCAGAATCATTGGTCAGTGGCTTATGGTCGCATGGTGGACCCCGTACAAACATGCCATCACATAAGTTCCCTCGACTTGCAACACATTGACAGTGACCTACTTTTGATATCAAAAGATTGTCACTGTTTGTCATACATAAGCATATCAAATAATATTAACACTACATGTAGAAGACTTAAGCCTGTGAAGTTCCAGGTTAGAACTGGTCTTACAATTGGTAGGCAACCAATGCATGTCATCACATCCAAACTGCGTAGATCGATGCTCATGATGTCAATCACAGGACTGTCTCGTCCAGACCCATTTAATTACAGACCACCGTCATAGAACTTGAATATTGCTGAGTTTGGTGTTAAATATCTGAAAAAAACTTTTCAGATAGCAACCCCACCCCAAGGATGACATGTACCAAGTTACATTGACATGACCAAGTAAATCCTTCTTCAGTTTTCGTTTATACAAACTTTACTTCAGGCTAGGACCTGGAAGATGACCATGACCCTGTACATGGCTGGACAATTTGTCAAAACACTTCACAGGGCTGAAAAGGAGATATACATGGGATTATATCCGTGGGATGTCCAAGTGCTGTTTGATTAAAAAAGTATAGTGTGGCAGCAGCAGTCAAATTCAGACCCTAACCGAGGTAAGGTTGCGTCGGCTACTTCAGTGAAAACACCATCAGTCAAGGTCAGGTTGTTATCATTGCTTTGTCCCCGATATTAATTTAAGTCTTTAAAGTCATGTTAAGGCTGCAATCTTTGTTTCATCCTTGACATTAATGTAACACTACCAGTTAAGGTCAGGTTGTACCCTTTGCAATTAAGGCTCCTCAAATTTAACAGAACATAACCAGTCAAAGTCAGGATGTACATACTTATGGAACACAAGGTCGAGGTAAGGTTGTAATCTGTGCTTGGTCCACAGTCAGCCTAGGCCAGTATGTAACTTGTGCTTGGTCTTTGACAATAAGGTGAGGTGAAATGGGGTTTCACGTGGTGTTCAAGATTATTGCACTTATATAGCTACGTGCATGCACATGCGTGTGGCTGCTTGTACCTGTCCGGGCTAATGCCAATTTCATAGTGCTAGCCCACTAAACACCATGCCGAAATTTAGCATGAATACCCAACTCTGACACAGTATACTGACACCACGCCGACCTGTCCTTGTTTTAGCTCCTTAATGCCGAGCACCAGACAGTATAACAACAAGTACCATCTTTTAATGTCTTTTGGGCAGATGCTCTACCACTCGACCAAAGAGGCGGTCCTATATTAATAGAACAATTCTTGCTGAAGTCAGGTTGTGATCCTTACTTACTTCACTATATTAATGGAACACAATCAATTAAAGGCCAGGTATTCAATTCAGTTTTATCTCTCATATGTCTGGAAATACATAGAACTAAGCAAAAATAGAAAATAATCATTTTATTCAACAAGATTTTCAGATAAGATATAGTTGTCTATAAAATACAAGGGATAAAAATCCAATGAAATCCTTGAGTAAACATACACAGCCACTCACTGTTACAACTGCCACTCATAGAAAACAGGATATATAGGGCTGACATTTCCAAGTAAATACTGCATACTTTGCAATGCAATTGTACAAAACATTATATATACATATTCCAATGAATTAAGAAATAAATGTGAATTGAAATTGCTATTTCTGGATAAATAGAAGCCAGTATGTTTGATTACTGTATACTGCTCACATAGTTGTACATGATATTGTTTCACAATCTAATTACAGTCAGTGCTTGCTACCGCTTCATAAAGATCTGTGGACATCCCATTACAGGTCACGTCAGAACGACCTTCGCAAACTTTGACTGACCAATGAAATGAAATGGCCAATGTCGACTTCCTGTTATCAAAATGACAGTAGTGAGCACTGATCAGGTGAGGTATAGCCTTTCTCCAGCCTGGAGGAACCTGCCAGCAGCTTCAAAAACTCACTTGAGACAGACAGAAGCATCATGCAGTCATACCACCGGACTGTTTAACATGGATACATACACTTTCTCAACAGTTAATGTAAATTACATGTATAAAGAAATGCAATCACAAATGACCAGAAAGAGTCAAATTGTTGGTCCAAGGGAGACAACCTGTTCATTGGACATTCCATGAAGAATTACAGAAGCACAACTCATGGTAACAGATTGTCAATAACCCTCACCAACTCACTATGCAACTAATGGCCTGCCTATGCAGGCCTGCTGGCAGAAGTATAGAATATATTCTTGTTTCCCCACATGCATCTTAAACATCGCACTGCTAGCCATACATACTAAAACAATGAGCAGCACAATTGCAATATGATAATATTTAATACATTATCTGTATTTTAAGAACTTTTAAAAATATTGCTACATTTATAATACCACAATTGTTTGTGAGGAAATACATTACATATCCATACCATCACTGTATAAACATAAATAACAAAAACTGTATTTTTGGATTTCATAAAATAATTTTTCTGACAGCAGGTCCAGCAGTGTCAACCCGGGACATTTCATTTCGCTTGGGAAGTAGCAGAAAATAAATATATACTATAAAATCAAAATGCAAGTGCTTGAGACTTTAGTAAGTCAATCCAGGGGTGCATCTATACAAACTGTCACCGGAATTATTGATCCCATGCTAGTACCTTGAATACTACAATACCTGGGTCCGCTTGCACAGGACAAACTTAGTCACAATCAATCTTAGGCGCCTACAATCAACTTTACAATCAACTTTACAATCACCATACAATTGTCCTATTCCACTTGAACAAACCGAGCTTAGCGAGATTGTAAGACGGCTTGGATTTAAGATCGCAATCTTTGCTACGATCGAAATCTTCAACGGTGGAAGTACCAATATCTTAAACTCGACTCCTATCTACAGTTGTCTGCAAACACGCATAGCTTGCTGCGCATACAGGAAGTGGAACTGGTTACCACACACAACAAGTACCTCCCTCCAGCGCACCTTGCATAGTTTTAAGAAAGGCCCCAATTATTTGAAGGAAGAGATTACTAGAATTACTGGGGGTGGGGGGGTGGGGAGTTGGGGTCAGCGATTCTACAACATTAATCATTAATACACTGGGAAAGATAGACTGTAATCTACAGGCTTATACAATCGGAAACCACTCCCATTTAGAGTATAGAAACTAAGAATAGCTGCCCTTGAGTTATCCAAAAGGTCAAGGATGTTACTAATCATTTTCAGACAACTGAAGTTTTTCACCTTCCCTTGATTAGTGAATAGGTATGTTTTTTAACATTACTTTCAGCATTGAGTCAGGTGGGTACTTTTAGCTATCGACTCGATAGTTCTGTGGTTCACAATTGCAAGTAATGATTGTTCTGTATAAGTGGAACGTGAATACTACAATAGCTGGTACATCTTACACACATCATGCTTGTGACATGAATACTACAATAGCTGGTACATCTTACACACATCATGCTTGTAACATGAATACTACAAAAGCTGGTACATCTTACACACATCATGCGTGTAACGTGAATACTACAATAGCTGGTACATCTTACACACATCATGCGTGTAACATGAATACTACAATAGCTGGTACATCTTACACACATCATGCTTGTAACGTGAATACTACAATAGCTGGTACATCTTACACACATCATGCTTGTAACGTGAATACTACAATAGCTGGTACATCTTACACACATCATGCTTGTAACATGAATACTACAATAGCTGGTACATCTTACACACATCATGCGTGTAACGTGAATACTACAATAGCTGGTACATCTTACACACATGCTTATAACATGAATACTACAATACCTGGTACATCTTACACACATCATGCTTGTAACATGAATACTACAATACCTGGTACATCTTACACACATCATGCGTGTAACATGAATACTACAATAGCTGGTACATCTTACACACATCATGCGTGTAACATGAATACTACAATAGCTGGTACATCTTACACACATCATGCTTGTAACATGAATACTACATTAGCTGGTACATCTTACACACATCATGCTTGTGACATGAATACTACAATAGCTGGTACATCTTACACACATCATGCTTGTAACGTGAATACTACAATAGCTGGTACATCTTACACACATCATGCGTGTAACGTGAATACTACAATAGCTGGTACATCTTACACACATGCTTATAACATGAATACTACAATACCTGGTACATCTTACACACATCATGCTTGTAACATGAATACTACAATACCTGGTACATCTTACACACATCATGCGTGTAACATGAATACTACAATAGCTGGTACATCTTACACACATCATGCGTGTAACATGAATACTACAATAGCTGGTACATCTTACACACATCATGCTTGTAACATGAATACTACATTAGCTGGTACATCTTACACACATCATGCTTGTGACATGAATACTACAATAGCTGGTACATCTTACACACATCATGCTTGTAACGTGAATACTACAATAGCTGGTACATCTTACACACATCATGCTTGTAACATGAATACTACAATAGCTGGTACATCTTACACACATCATGCGTGTAACGTGAATACTACAATAGCTGGTACATCTTACACACATCATGCGTGTAACATGAATACTACAATAGCTGGTACATCTTACACACATCATGCTTGTAACATGAATACTACAATAGCTGGTACATCTTACACACATCATGCTTGTAACGTGAATACTACAATAGCTGGTACATCTTACACACATCATGCTTGTAACATGAATACTACAATAGCTGGTACATCTTACACACATCATGCTTGTAACATGAATACTACAATAGCTGGTACATCTTACACACATCATGCGTGTAACGTGAATACTACAATAGCTGGTACATCTTACACACATCATGCTTGTGACATGAATACTACAATAGCTGGTACATCTTACACACATCATGCTTGTAACGTGAATACTACAATAGCTGGTACATCTTACACACATCATGCTTGTAACGTGAATACTACAATAGCTGGTACATCTTACACACATCATGCGTGTAACATGAATACTACAATAGCTGGTACATCTTACACACATCATGCTTGTAACATGAATACTACAATAGCTGGTACATCTTACACACATCATGCGTGTAACATGAATACTACAATAGCTGGTACATCTTACAGACATCATGCGTGTAACGTGAATACTACAATAGCTGGTACATCTTACACACATCATGCTTGTAACATGAATACTACAATAGCTGGTACATCTTACACACATCATGCGTGTAACATGAATACTACAATAGCTGGTACATCTTACACACATCATGCTTGTAACGTGAATACTACAATAGCTGGTACATCTTACACACATCATGCTTGTAACGTGAATACTACAATAGCTGGTACATCTTACACACATCATGCTTGTAACATGAATACTACAATAGCTGGTACATCTTACACACATCATGCTTGTAACGTGAATACTACAATAGATGGTACATCTTACACACATCATGCGTGTAACATGAATACTACAATAGCTGGTACATCTTACACACATCATGCTTGTAACATGAATACTACAATAGCTGGTACATCTTACACACATCATGCTTGTAACGTGAATACTACAATAGCTGGTACATCTTACACACATCATGCTTGTAACGTGAATACTACAATAGCTGGTACATCTTACACACATCATGCTTGTAACATGAATACTACAATAGCTGGTACATCTTACACACATCATGCGTGTAACATGAATACTACAATAGCTGGTACATCTTACACACATCATGCTTGTAACATGAATACTACAATAGCTGGTACATCTTACACACATCATGCGTGTAACGTGAATACTACAATAGCTGGTACATCTTACACACATCATGCTTGTGACATGAATACTACAATAGCTGGTACATCTTACACACATCATGCTTGTAACATGAATACTACAATAGCTGGTACATCTTACACACATGCTTATAACATGAATACTACATTAGCTGGTACATCTTACACACATCATGCTTGTAACATGAATACTACAATAGCTGGTACATCTTACACACATCATGCTTGTAACATGAATACTACAATAGCTGGTACATCTTACACACATCATGCGTGTAACATGAATACTACAATAGCTGGTACATCTTACACACATCATGCGTGTAACATGAATACTACAATAGCTGGTACATCTTACACACATCATGCGTGTAACGTGAATACTACAATAGCTGGTACATCTTACACACATCATGCTTGTAACATGAATACTACAATAGCTGGTACATCTTACACACATCATGCTTGTAACGTGAATACTACAATAGCTGGTACATCTTACACACATCATGCTTGTAACATGAATACTACAATAGCTGGTACATCTTACACACATCATGCTTGTAACGTGAATACTACAATAGCTGGTACATCTTACACACATCATGCTTGTGACATGAATACTACAATAGCTGGTACATCTTACACACATCATGCTTGTAACATGAATACTACAATAGCTGGTACATCTTACACACATCATGCTTGTAACGTGAATACTACAATAGCTGGTACATCTTACACACATCATGCTTGTAACATGAATACTACAATAGCTGGTACATCTTACACACATCATGCGTGTAACGTGAATACTACAATAGCTGGTACATCTTACACACATCATGCTTGTAACATGAATACTACAATAGCTGGTACATCTTACACACATCATGCGTGTAACATGAATACTACAATAGCTGGTACATCTTACACACATCATGCTTGTAACATGAATACTACAATAGCTGGTACATCTTACACACATCATGCTTGTAACATGAATACTACAATAGCTGGTACATCTTACACACATCATGCTTGTAACATGAATACTACAATAGCTGGTACATCTTACACACATCATGCTTGTAACATGAATACTACAATAGCTGGTACATCTTACACACATCATGCTTGTAACATGAATACTACAATAGCTGGTACATCTTACACACATCATGCGTGTAACATGAATACTACAATAGCTGGTACATCTTACACACATCATGCTTGTAACGTGAATACTACAATAGCTGGTACATCTTACACACATCATGCTTGTAACATGAATACTACAATAGCTGGTACATCTTACACACATCATGCTTGTAACGTGAATACTACAATAGCTGGTACATCTTACACACATCATGCTTGTAACATGAATACTACAATAGCTGGTACATCTTACACACATCATGCTTGTAACGTGAATACTACAATAGCTGGTACATCTTACACACATCATGCTTGTAACATGAATACTACAATAGCTGGTACATCTTACACACATCATGCTTGTAACATGAATACTACAATAGCTGGTACATCTTACACACATCATGCGTGTAACATGAATACTACAATAGCTGGTACATCTTACAGACATCATGCGTGTAACATGAATACTACAATAGCTGGTACATCTTACACACATCATGCTTGTAACGTGAATACTACAATAGCTGGTACATCTTACACACATCATGCTTGTAACATGAATACTACAATAGCTGGTACATCTTACACACATCATGCTTGTAACATGAATACTACAATAGCTGGTACATCTTACACACATCATGCTTGTAACATGAATACTACAATAGCTGGTACATCTTACAGACATCATGCTTGTGACATGAATACTACAATAGCTGGTACATCTTACACACATCATGCTTGTAACGTGAATACTACAATAGCTGGTACATCTTACACACATCATGCTTGTAACATGAATACTACAATAGCTGGTACATCTTACACACATCATGCTTGTAACATGAATACTACAATAGCTGGTACATCTTACACACATCATGCTTGTAACATGAATACTACAATAGCTGGTACATCTTACACACATGCTTATAACATGAATACTACAATAGCTGGTACATCTTACACACATCATGCTTGAAACATGAATACTACAATACAAATAGATCATGTGGGCTATAAAGGGCCCTTATACCCTGACCTTCACTGGGATCCTGGATCCTATGGTTTTTGGCCAAAGGTATTCTCATGTTCATATGTCATTACCATAAAACCCCAAACAAAATCAACCTCTGGCAAAGTTGTTAAATTTGAGTTTGATTTCCAGTCAAATTTGCTCAATGACTTTCTTTGCATGTAAAGTAGTTGTCCATAAAGTAGTATCTGTAGGAACCAAAACAAGATGGCACCCACTGGTGGTCTCTCCAGCTCATAGAGGTTTTGTGTCAACACATCACTCCAAGAACATGTCATCAACAACACACAGGAGCTCTGGTAAGTATTTTATATGCAGAGTCCTTAGCATAGAGTAATTTTACTTTACTGTATTATAATTGAAGTATTTGCTTTATACTTTGAGTTGATTCCATCACAGTTTTGACAGATCTTCTTGATAGCATTGTATGGTATTTGCATCTGTTGAAGAGAAATTAATTTAAACTGTGTTTGTAACACAACTTAGATATGTTTTTTCCATCTGTTATTTACCCTAGTGAAGTTAGACACATAACTTAGAATATAAATAAATATGTTTGGGGGGCTGTAAACCCATACATCGGACACTTGTATGCTAGCAGACAGCTTTTCCTTGTATGCTACTACCTTAACAACTGGTTACATATATGATGACTTCAGGTGGCCCTACACTGAAATGCTTTGTGGGGGGAATAATGTACATTTTTGTTACTCTTAATTAAATATATGTTTGTTCAAATACACAGATATCATAGAAAATAGATGTATAACACTTCATATTCATTTTATAAAATGGGTAAACACAAGAACATTAGTATAAACAAAACCCCAAAATTCTATTTCTAATCTCTGTACAATGCATTTATCATTGCATAAACAAATTTCAATGCCTTGAATGAAACTGTGCGATAAGGTAGGTACCATTATATACCAATATTCATGTAAACATAAGTTTAATGTGTTGGGGTAAGGGAAAGGCATTGCACAATGGACAGTTGTCCATTAGCCTTGGGGTTGGGGGGAATCAGTAAATTGAATGTTTGTTCCCTAGACCGGGCAGGTAGCCCGGCACGCGGAAGCTATGCCTAATTTTTTTTAGAACTTTTGACAAAAATGAAATGTTTCACTAATTTTCTTCCATGTGATTTTGGGTGGTGCACATACATTATGAACACATTTTCAAGATGCAATCCTGGTACTATGCAACATTTTAACACATGAGTATATTTTTTTAAATTGCATACTATTTTGTAAATGTAAAAATTATTATTTGTATTGTTTTAATTCCAGGTGCTGCTGACCACTGCTGTGTTCTGTGTGGTGTTGATGGAGCTGATGTGAAACTGTCTTCAAAAGGACTTTCGTCTTTGATTGCAGTATCAATGAAACGTGAAAATGACATTCACACTCAGATTACAGTGAATAATGACTACATGTATTTTGTACATGAGAGTTGTCGAAAGACATACACAGCAAACAAGAACATTAACAAAGCCATCAAAACTCAGTCCACTGCCACATGTCAAACAGCCACAAGGGTTTTGTGAACTCTGAACTCCAATTTCAACTTTGAAACTCATTGTTTAATATGTGCCAAAGAAATTGATTTTGTTAAAGGACGTCGTTATCCAAGCCAGTCCTCTGCTGTGAGCAGTATTGAGTATGTCAGCAATATTGGAAAAACAAGCATCTTACAAAATACACTGTTACAAGTTTGTAACCAGAGACTTGATAAGGAATCAGTAGAAATCAAGGCTAGGATTGCAATCGCAGGTGATATTCGTGCAGTTGAGGCTACATATCATAGACCATGCATGCAGAAGTTCTTGTCAGCACATGGTAAAAGTGACACCAATACCAATACCAAAAATGAGGACACAGCCAACATTACTGCTTTCTCAGCATTATGCATGAGGTTATCCTTCCAACAAAACAGTCAGTTCACTATACAGGATTTGCAGAGCAGGCTTGCCAAAGATGTGGAACCATACAGCATTAAACATCTGCAGCGCCGTCTTCTTGAACATTTTGGTGCAAAGGTAGCAGAAGTTGAAGGAAGAGAAAATGTTGTTACTTTTGTTGACAAAGCAGCAACTTTTCTGCAAAACTCCTATCATGAAGATGACAGTGATAAAGATGACACATTGCAACAAGCCAGAATGTTAGGATGTCATATCAGAAAGCATTTAGAAGGTCTCAAGAAGACAGACTTGTTTTATCCTTGTCCTCAAGACACTGACATTGACAAACTTGAGAATGAGGTTCCTGATGTCCTCCTTGTGTTTGTGAGAAGTCTAATGAGAAAAGCCACCACAGAAACTGCCTTTGAAAAACAACGACTTGGAAGTTGTTTCTCTTTGTCATGCATTGATGCAAGCTTCAGCTCCAAACCCTTATCTATCACCTTTGATGCTCTCCACTGGCCTTTTCATCCACCAAACAACAAGATCCAGAGTGCTGCTGAATGTTTTGTCTAGTCTTGGCTTCTCTGTCTTATGATCAAGTAATGGATTTTGAGAAATCAGCTGTAGTAAGCGAGTCTGTTGAAGATCTTCCACCTGTAATCGAGGCACAGGTGTTTTTTGGCAGTGGGTGGCTGACAACTTTGACTACAATGAGGACACTGTTACTGGACACAATTCAACACATGTCATGGGTATTATTGCTTGCCAAATCCCAGCTTCCAAACAAACAATTACTGTTCAGCGTAAGAAGAAAACATCTGCTGATATTGCATCTTCTGGTGACTTTGGTCATATAATACAACCGTAAAGGCAATCCAACAAAAATCTCATGTCCAAGATAGTGTTCCAGAAACTCGAACCAGTCGAAGTTGGTTCTTTGGAAGAGTATCTGAAGCTAGACACCTTATGGATGCTGTCAAATGCCTGTTTCCAAGTATCACCGAGTTGGCAAGGCTTCATGGCAGAAATTACAGAAGGTGAATGTTTGGGCTCCTCAATTGTGTACCATCCAATGATGCCTCTTAACCCTCAAACGAATGAGGCTGTACATAGCATACTGGTTTTCATTGATAAGCAAAGACAAAAAGCTAGACAATGATGTGCAATGCTCACCTTTGACCAAGCACTCTATGCGAAGGCATATAAAATTAAAGCTGACAATCCTGTTGAATTTCAACATGTTCAACTTCGTCTTGGAGGTTTTCATCAGCTGATGTCTTTTCTAGGGGCAGGTTGTAAGGCTATGGAAGGCTGTGGACTGGATGAAGCTTGGGCTACTGTATATGCCCAAAATTCCATTCCCAAAATGGTGGAAGGAAAGGCTTATACAAAGACACTTAGAGCATGTCTTCTCACCTGTGCTGCTTTGCACATACTTCTTTTGTTGCCTGAAGGAGATATTGCTGAAGACGATAGTTCAGCTGAAATGGAAGACAACAATGATAGTTCAGTCAGTCAGAATGAAACACTGCAGAATTTCATTTCAAGAAGTCCAGATGTTGATCAGATGTTTACAGAGTTGGAACTCTTGAATAAACAGCTTATGGAACATAATCAGTCTATCACCCATGTGATGAACAACAACATCATGACAGAAGTATCAACAAGATTACAAAGTGCAAAGCAGAAACTACAAGAATCAAGGACTGCAAATTTGTGGCTGTATTTTCTGGACTTTGTGTCTGTTGTCTGTATGTTCATCAGAGCTGAGCGCACAGGGAACTGGCAGCTTCATCTAAAAGCATCACAAGATATGCTACCCTGGTTTGCTGCTACAGTACATAACAACTATGCCAAGTATTGCAGGCTGTATTTACAGGATTTCAAAAGTTCATGTCCATGCCTTGAAAGTCCCCTTAAAAATGGCCTCTTCACAGTCCGTCATAACAGCAACCTGTTCTGGAGTGGCACATGGAGTGATATGACCATAGAACAGTCACTGATGAGGGCTGGAAAGACCCAAGATGGACTTATCAATATCACTCACAGGGAAGGTGCAAGAACAAAGTGGCTGTTGTCAGCACATGTCACTGCTCAGTATACTGACTCTTTGAGATCCTTGACGAAAACAACCAACAGCTCATGGTCAGATCAGCATCGTGAAATGAATGTAGGACGAATCAGTCAAGACTATGCAGATTATCCTAGGCTATCTCAGGACCCATAACCCATTTCAAGGTGGAGAAAATTCCCAGCTGAGAAACATTGCCACAGGTCTGATTGCTGATGATCGAGTCAACGTTGACAAGCTGGTCAGAATTGGTAACTCCATTCAAGACAGCATCAACGAGAAGAAGTTTGGAGATGTCATGTTAAAGAAAAGCAACCAAGCTGTTACATTTGCTGTGAAAAAGGCAGTGAATTTAAAAGACGGTGAAAAAATTCATATGTTTTCTGCTGAGATGTACGATTGCCTATGTTTCAGGACGTCCACCTCCATCTGTGTTCTTCAGCTTTGAACTTGCAGCTGTTTCACCAGCTCTCTTCCACCAGCTCTCTTCCATGAAGATGGCACTATGCGAAAATCCCAAAAGTCGCAACTTTCCTGACACATCATAAAGTTGAATCCGAACATTGTCGTTACTAGTGACATCGTCCCTGGAATTACAGTTGTTGACGGATGTGCTGTGCTTCAACAAATGAAATGGCCCAAAACAGGCACCCTTCACGATGTGTGTCGTGCTTATACCAATACATTAGCACACAAAGCAACAGATGGATTTCCTCTTCTGGTTGTGTTTGACAGTTATGTCGCAGACTAATGAAGGACAGAGATGCTGATGTGGTAGTAAACCCCGAAGCCCCTGTACCCTCTGACCAAAGCAGTTTTCTTGCCAACAAGAAGAACAAACAGAATACCATCAATCTATTATCTGAATACCTTAAGTGTCATTGTTAGAGAGGCAGTCAAGTTATCTGACACATACAACACAGTACATGTTGTTTCAGATGATACAGATGTTTTTGTCTTGCTGATGCACCATGTCGATCCCAAATCTGATGTATATATGAAGACAAAAACACAAACAACATCAATACAAGAAGCACAGCGTTCAATTGGTTATCATCAGTGCCAATTGTTGCCCTTTTTGCATGCTGTTTCTGGATGTGACACGACATCTTCTGTATTTGGCTTTGGTAAAGTGAAGCATATGAAGTACCTTTCTTCATCACCTGAACTTCAAACAGCAGTCAAAGTGTTTGGTGAGGATGATGTGCCATTGGATGATGTGAAGAAAGCAGGAGAGAGGTATGTTTCTGGACTATACACTGGTGGAAAGTATGGCAGATCTTTAGATGACCTGGGATACCTGAACATCATATCTACTAGATATATTCCTGTTGAACGCATGCCTCCAACATCAAGAGCTTGCTACTTCCATTCCCTGCGAGTTCATCTGCAGGTCCACACATGGCGTCATCTTGAAACGTTACATGACAAGGAAAGGTTTGGGTTCAGAAACACTCATGGACATTTACTCCCAGTGATCACTGATAAAGACCCTGCTCCACCAGACCTACTGAAGGAGATTAGATGTTTATGCAAGAGCTCCACAAGACTATGTACTTCTTGCAGTTGCTTCAAAATGAGAATTCCATGTAGCATCCATTGCAAATGTGAAAGTGCGTGTGAAAACGGAATTCTTGTTGATGACAGTCTATAATTGATTAACAGGTCCATCTGCTACAACAGGAAGTGTGAACAGCATATATACATGCACAGATTGTGAAACTGTTTGAAGAGCTATCAAGTTGTTGCCAACTACTCTATGGTGGACACAAGTTCATTTTGATCGTCAAAAGCTGATAAAAACCCAGACATTTTTATGATTATGGGAGCATGTCTACCTGACAATGGATATGTCACCTTGACTTAATTTGGAATGGACCTTTTGCTGCTTCTAAATATTTACTTAAATCATTAAGTTGCTGCAAAAATTCAAGTAGGAATGAAGAATACCAACATTTTGACAGTTGATGCAAGTATGTTTAAAGGGAGACAACTCAAGTATGGCCTTGCCACACATCACCTCGTTAATTGTTAATTTTCTTAATAATTAATCCCAATTCAATTTTCTATCATCATAATCTGTATTTGTTCACCAAATATGGCAAATAATCACCATTATGTGTTTAAAGACATCCTGATTAAAGCCTCCATGAAGAAACCATTTTCCCCTTTTTCTACCATATTTGTCCCGATGAATAAAATGGTTAAAAATATATTTGCCAGAGGTTGATTTTGGTTGGGTTGGGTATGGTGTGACAGAATATGTATATGATTCATCTTAACATAAAATTTGTCTGTTATAAAAAATGTCGAGGTGTTTCACTATTTCTACCGGCCTAATAATACATCTCATCATAACAAAGACCTTTTGACTTTCACAAACTTTGTGTGATGTTCTTTAATAAAAATATCTATATTAAATTTTAGGAAAAATAGCTTAGTTCTTAATAAAAATGCTATGATAATAATGGAATCGCATTGTAGTTCTGCACATCCTGCTAATCACCTACTAGACTCCTTTACTTATTAAGAAGCTGATTCACATTACACAATTAAAGAATATCTTTTCAATTTTAAAAAACCAATTCCCAGGACCATCTGGTTTCTGAGAAATTGATTCTTAAAGATTCTTAAAGGTGTAACTTTTCATGAACATGAACAATTTTCATTCCCATTGTGTTCCTACGGGTACACATCATATCAATGTTCCATATTGCTTGACGTTTTGGTTTCTTAGAAGACGATTCTTAAAGATTTTTTACAATTTGATTTTTATAACTTAACTTGATTTCTTTAATAAAAACTCAAAACCTTTGATTTAAACAACACGATAATTGCTATCCAGTTATTATCTGTTCAGCTGAATCCTAGAAGAGAAGAAGTTAACAGACAATGGATGACAGATGCAGACACACTGGATAGACGACCGACAGACAACATACTATAAGCTCACTTGGACCTTAAGTCCTGGTGGGCTGAACATGTGTTGTTTACCGTCATACTTTTATCTTGGGATCACTGAATTTCACATTTTCACAGTCTGCCATCTTGCATGTAAAGTCTGTCAATGGTAAATGAAAATAAGTTTCTCTACAGAAATTCAAAATGTCAAAATGCCAGAGAATAATCACTCTTAGCTATCCATCGAAACAGACTCCATTGGGCACTGGAGACAAAACATGACGAAAACTACATGAATAGATGACTGATAATCAGTAACATAATCTTTTCCCAGTTCCACTGTATGTTGTCTCACAATAATTTTCACTACTGGATTTGGCAGTCAATCCTGAAACAAAACAAAAAAATTATTCTCACCAATTGTTTAGAAAGTCTGCTACCTCATTACAGAAGGTAATATGTCCTTATACAACAGTATATACAGATGAAGACAGCATAACTGTCATATTATAAGGCTGGAAATGGTCTGGATTACTAACTACTGTGTTCATCTGGGGCGGCACACAGTGACAAGGTAGACACAGTGGTAATGTGGTAAAGTGGTACCAGGGATTTAGCTACAATTGTTAACAAAGTGCCCTTGGAAGGCAAATTGGGGAAAAAAATGATATTTTGTTCCAAACTGGGATTTGTTAAAAGTTTATATTTTCTTAAATTCAGAGATATTTTGAGATTGCATTAAATGCCATAATATAAATGGTAGCATTAAAACCGGTTCCTATTTACTGGTCTTGTTATAAGTGAATACAGGTTACTTCTTCAAAGCCATAAAATTAGTTATTAGTTATATCTATTCATACATTGTAACATGGATTGGGAATTTTTAGTTCCAAATTGGGAATTGTTATTGACATTTGCTGCAGACTTGGGGCCGAATATCTGGCTCTGAGTAGGTCAGATAATCCCTGGGTACTGCTTAAAGAGGCAGATAACTTAATATGTACTTACTTGTACATGTAATCAGGTTTTCTCACAGATTCTTCTGCATCCATTCAAAAGCAGCCTCGTATACCAACAGCATGATTGCACCACCTGACATGGAAGAACAAGCATCAGGAAGGGGGCTGTAAAGCTAACATTGCAATCTTGCAACAGTAAATTTTGATGAAAAGAAAACAAATCTTTGGAACAGAATTCAGTTACGAATGTATCATCAGTCCTTACAAGAAATGCCAAATCATAGTATCTGTACAAACAAACCTATAAAGGTTATGATGGTAGACTATCAAGTAGGCAAACCATTCAGTCAACATTTCAAGAAAGATCTGTGAAGTCTTTCATCTGAGAAGGATAAAAGGTTTGAGAGTCCTTGTCTTAGAGTTCCAATGGCATGGTTACAATTGTAATGACATGGTAAAATAGAATTCGGGGTTCCTGGAAAATACCTTGTCATCATGTTTTTTGTACAAAGTTGGTGATATATCTAGGCAAACACATTGCAAATGATGAACATGAAAACATGCTTAATGCAAAGAATGATTAACAAAAGAAATGTGCAGATTTAGAAATTGAAATGGGAATTATCAATTTCAATGGAAAGTATGGGGAAAACTTTCCAAACTAAAACTGCTTATTACCAAGCAAATATGGATGATCATTTCTATTATAATGAAAGTTGTGTTTAGATCCCCGCATTCCCAGGATATTGTACATGTAACTTGACAAGATAAATTGACTGTTTTCACCATGTAAATAATTTGCTTAATAGAAGAAAAAAAATGTTGATTGTGTATCTGAATTGGTCAAGATGTTAGGCATGGATTGTACATACATCAAATACTCAAAAGAATATTTCAAAACAAAGCTATTTTTAATATTCTTTGTTTATTATCACATGGTTGTTACTCTCCGTATCGTCTCAGAATAAACAATGAACGATGCGAAAAAATCCTTTTTTTGTGAAATTATCAGGGATTTGAGAGTTGTGGAAAACACATCACAAGATTGATGAGGGTATGTGAAAGTGAAAGGTCATAGAACGGTGAAACAGGTTTACCCACATTACCTGATAACATATCATTGCATTTACTTCTAACAACAACTGAATGATCCACTTTAACCTGAGTCCTGATGACACTGTTCTGTTTTTGTTAAAATGATGGGACCCTGGTACATATTCCACCCTACAACTGAGAGTAGCTGTAGTATTCAATTTGATATCACAATTATTGATATAAAAGGCATTTGTAGATATCATCACTGCCAGAACTGTCTTCAAATGACATATTTGCTGTGGGTTGGTGGTACATACCTGGTCCGAGTCTCATCACCTTTGGAAGCAGCCCTTTATACAGAGCAAAGAAGCTGGCAAGAAAACAGCATAACATGAATAAAAATTGGTATCTGATGAACAAAAACATGAAAATATCAATTCAAAACTTAAAATCTTTCCGCCATCTCTGCACTTCTACTGTGACTCCCCTTCCTGTCCACACTTCTACTGTGACTCCCCTTCCTGTCCACACTTCTACTGTCACTCCACTCCTCTCTGCACTTCTACTGTCACTCCCCTTCCTCTCTACACTTTTACTGTCACTCCCCTTCCTCTCTACACTTCCACTGTCACTCCCCTTCCTGTCCACACTTCTACTGTCACTCCCCTTCCTGTCCACACTTCTACTGTCACTCCCCTTCCTGTCCACACTTCCACTGTCACTCCCCTTCCTGTCCACACTTCTACTGTCACTCCCCTTCCTGTCCACACTTCTACTGTCACTCCCCTTCCTGTCCACACTTCTACTGTCACTCCCCTTCCTGTCCACACTTCCACTGTCACTCCCCTTCCTGTCCACACTTCCACTGTCACTCCCCTTCCTGTCCACACTTCTACTGTCACTCCCCTTCCTGTCCACACTTCTACTGTCACTCCCCTTCCTGTCCACACTTCTACTGTCACTCCCCTTCCTGTCCACACTTCCACTGTCACTCCCCTTCCTGTCCACACTTCCACTGTCACTCCCCTTCCTGTCTACACTTCTACTGTCACTCCCCTTCCTGTCCACACTTCTACTGTCACTCCCCTTCCTGTCCACACTTCTACTGTCACTCCCCTTCCTGTCCACACTTCTACTGTCACTCCCCTTCCTGTCCACACTTCCACTGTCACTCCCCTTCCTGTCCACACTTCCACTGTCACTCCCCTTCCTCTCTGCACTTCTACTGTCACTCCCCTTCCTCTCTACACTTCTACTGTCACTCCCCTTCCTGTCCACACTTCTACTGTCACTCCCCTTCCTGTCCACACTTCCACTGTCACTCCCCTTCCTGTCCACACTTCTACTGTCACTCCCCTTCCTCTCTGCACTTCTACTGTCACTCCCCTTCCTCTCTACACTTCTACTGTCACTCCCCTTCCTGTCCACACTTCTACTGTCACTCCCCTTCCTGTCCACACTTCCACTGTCACTCCCCTTCCTGTCCACACTTCTACTGTCACTCCCCTTCCTGTCCACACTTCCACTGTCACTCCCCTTCCTGTCCACACTTCTACTGTCACTCCCCTTCCTGTCCACACTTCCACTGTCACTCCCCACCCTGTCCACACTTCCACTGTCAGTCCCCTTCCTGTCCACACTTCTACTGTCACTCCCCTTCCTGTCCACACTTCTACTGTCACTCCCCTTCCTGTCCACACTTCTACTGTCACTCCCCACCCTGTCCACACTTCCACTGTCACTCCCCTTCCTGTCCACACTTCTACTGTCACTCCCCTTCCTGTCCACACTTCTACTGTCACTCCCCTTCCTGTCCACACTTCCACTGTCACTCCCCTTCCTGTCCACACTTCTACTGTCACTCCCCTTCCTCTCTGCACTTCTACTGTCACTCCCCTTCCTCTCTACACTTCTACTGTCACTCCCCTTCCTGTCCACACTTCTACTGTCACTCCCCTTCCTGTCCACACTTCCACTGTCACTCCCCTTCCTGTCCACACTTCTACTGTCACTCCCCTTCCTGTCCACACTTCTACTGTCACTCCCCTTCCTGTCTACACTTCTACTGTCACTCCCCTTCCTCTCTACACTTCCACTGTCACTCCCCTTCCTCTCTGCACTTCTACTGTCACTCCCCTTCCTGTCCACACTTCCACTGTCACTCCCCTTCCTCTCTGCACTTCTACTGTCACTCCCCTTCCTGTCCACACTTCCACTGTCACTCCCCTTCCTCTCTGCACTTCTACTGTCACTCCCCTTCCTGTCTGCACTTCTACTGTCACTCCCCTTCCTGTCCACACTTCCACTGTCACTCCCCTTCCTGTCTACACTTCTACTGTCACTCCCCTTCCTGTCTACACTTCTACTGTCACTCCCCTTCCTGTCTACACTTCTACTGTCACTCCCCTTCCTCTCTGCACTTCTACTGTCACTCCCCTTCCTGTCTACACTTCTACTGTCACTCCCCTTCCTGTCTACACTTCCACTGTCACTCCCCTTCCTCTCTGCACTTCTACTGTCACTCCCCTTCCTGTCCACACTTCCACTGTCACTCCCCTTCCTCTCTGCACTTCTACTGTCACTCCCCTTCCTGTCTGCACTTCTACTGTCACTCCCCTTCCTGTCCACACTTCCACTGTCACTCCCCTTCCTGTCTACACTTCTACTGTCACTCCCCTTCCTGTCTACACTTCTACTGTCACTCCCCTTCCTGTCTACACTTCTACTGTCACTCCCCTTCCTGTCCACACTTCTACTGTCACTCCCCTTCCTCTCTACACTTCTACTGTCACTCCCCTTCCTGTCCACACTTCTACTGTCACTCCCCTTCCTGTCCACACTTCTACTGTCACTCCCCTTCCTGTCCACACTTCCACTGTCACTCCCCTTCCTCTCTGCACTTCTACTGTCACTCCCCTTCCTGTCCACACTTCTACTGTCACTCCCCTTCCTGTCCACACTTCTACTGTCACTCCCCTTCCTGTCCACACTTCTACTGTCACTCCCCTTCCTGTCCACACTTCCACTGTCACTCCCCTTCCTGTCCACACTTCTACTGTCACTCCCCACCCTGTCCACACTTCCACTGTCAGTCCCCTTCCTCTCTGCACTTCTACTGTCACTCCCCTTCCTGTCCACACTTCCACTGTCACTCCCCTTCCTCTCTGCACTTCTACTGTCACTCCCCTTCCTGTCTGCACTTCTACTGTCACTCCCCTTCCTGTCCACACTTCTACTGTCACTCCCCTTCCTCTCTGCACTTCTACTGTCACTCCCCTTCCTGTCCACACTTCCACTGTCACTCCCCTTCCTCTCTGCACTTCTACTGTCACTCCCCTTCCTCTCTGCACTTCTACTGTCACTCCCCTTCCTGTCCACACTTCTACTGTCACTCCCCTTCCTCTCTGCACTTCTACTGTCACTCCCCTTCCTCTCTGCACTTCTACTGTCACTCCCCTTCCTGTCCACACTTCTACTGTCACTCCCCTTCCTGTCCACACTTCTACTGTCACTCCCCTTCCTGTCCACACTTCTACTGTCACTCCCCTTCCTGTCCACACTTCTACTGTCACTCCCCTTCCTGTCCACACTTCTACTGTCACTCCCCTTCCTGTCCACACTTCTACTGTCACTCCCCTTCCTGTCCACACTTCCACTGTCACTCCCCTTCCTCTCTGCACTTCTACTGTCACTCCCCTTCCTCTCTGCACTTCTACTGTCACTCCCCTTCCTGTCCACACTTCTACTGTCACTCCCCTTCCTGTCCACACTTCTACTGTCACTCCCCTTCCTGTCCACACTTCTACTGTCACTCCCCTTCCTGTCCACACTTCTACTGTCACTCCCCTTCCTGTCCACACTTCTACTGTCACTCCCCTTCCTGTCCACACTTCTACTGTCACTCCCCTTCCTGTCCACACTTCTACTGTCACTCCCCTTCCTGTCCACACTTCTACTGTCACTCCCCTTCCTGTCCACACTTCTACTGTCACTCCCCTTCCTGTCCACACTTCCACTGTCACTCCCCTTCCTCTCTGCACTTCTACTGTCACTCCCCTTCCTCTCTGCACTTCTACTGTCACTCCCCTTCCTGTCCACACTTCTACTGTCACTCCCCTTCCTGTCCACACTTCTACTGTCACTCCCCTTCCTGTCCACACTTCCACTGTCACTCCCCTTCCTCTCTGCACTTCTACTGTCACTCCCCTTCCTCTCTGCACTTCTACTGTCACTCCCCTTCCTGTCCACACTTCTACTGTCACTCCCCTTCCTGTCCACACTTCCACTGTCACTCCCCTTCCTCTCTGCACTTCTACTGTCACTCCCCTTCCTCTCTGCACTTCTACTGTCACTCCCCTTCCTGTCCACACTTCTACTGTCACTCCCCTTCCTGTCCACACTTCTACTGTCACTCCCCTTCCTGTCCACACTTCTACTGTCACTCCCCTTCCTCTCTGCACTTCTACTGTCACTCCCCTTCCTCTCTACACTTCTACTGTCACTCCCCTTCCTGTCCACACTTCCACTGTCACTCCCCTTCCTGTCCACACTTCTACTGTCACTCACCTTCCTGTCCATACTTCTACTGTCACTCCCCTTCCTGTCCACACTTCTACTGTCACTCACCTTCCTCTCTACACTTCTACTGTCACTCCCCTTCCTCTCTACACTTCTACTGTCACTCCCCTTCCTGTCCACACTTCTACTGTCACTCCCCTTCCTCTCTGCACTTCTACTGTCACTCCCCTTCCTGTCCACACTTCTACTGTCACTCCCCTTCCTGTCCACACTTCTACTGTCACTCCCCTTCCTCTCTGCACTTCTACTGTCACTCCCCTTCCTGTCCACACTTCTACTGTCACTCCCCTTCCTCTCTGCACTTCTACTGTCACTCCCCTTCCTGTCCACACTTCTACTGTCACTCCCCTTCCTGTCCACACTTCTACTGTCACTCCCCTTCCTCTCTGCACTTCTACTGTCACTCCCCTTCCTGTCCACACTTCCACTGTCACTCCCCTTCCTCTCTACACTTCTACTGTCACTCCCCTTCCTGTCCACACTTCCACTGTCACTCCCCTTCCTGTCCACACTTCTACTGTCACTCCCCTTCCTCTCTGCACTTCTACTGTCACTCCCCTTCCTGTCCACACTTCCACTGTCACTCCCCTTCCTGTCCACACTTCTACTGTCACTCACCTTCCTGTCCATACTTCTACTGTCACTCCCCTTCCTGTCCACACTTCTACTGTCACTCACCTTCCTCTCTACACTTCTACTGTCACTCCCCTTCCTGTCCACACTTCCACTGTCACTCCCCTTCCTGTCCACACTTCTACTGTCACTCACCTTCCTGTCCATACTTCTACTGTCACTCCCCTTCCTGTCCACACTTCTACTGTCACTCACCTTCCTCTCTACACTTCTACTGTCACTCCCCTTCCTGTCCACACTTCTACTGTCACTCCCCACCCTGTCCACACTTCTACTGTCACTCCCCTTCCTGTCTACACTTCTACTGTCACTCCCCTTCCTCTCTGCACTTCTACTGTCACTCCCCTTCCTGTCCACACTTCTACTGTCACTCCCCTTCCTGTCCACACTTCTACTGTCACTCACCTTCCTCTCTACACTTCTACTGTCACTCCCCTTCCTGTCCACACTTCCACTGTCACTCCCCTTCCTGTCCACACTTCTACTGTCACTCCCCTTCCTGTCCACACTTCTACTGTCACTCAACTTCCTCACTTCCTGTCCACACTTCTACTGTCACTCCCCTTCCTCTCTACACTTCCACTGTCACTCACCTTCCTCTCTGCACTTTTACTGTCACTCCCCTTCCTGTCTACACTTCTACTGTCACTCCCCTTCCTGTCCATACTTCTACTGTCAGTCACCTTCCTGTCCACACTTCTACTGTCACTCCCCTTCCTCTCTACACTTCTACTGTCACTCCCCTTCCTGTCTACACTTCTACTGTCACTCCCCTTCCTGTCCACACTTCTACTGTCACTCCCCTTCCTGTCCACACTTCTACTGTCACTCCCCTTCCTGTCCACACTTCTACTGTCACTCCCCTTCCTGTCCACACTTCTACTGTCACTCCCCTTCCTCTCTACACTTCCACTGTCACTCCCCTTCCTGTCCACACTTCTACTGTCACTCCCCTTCCTGTCCACACTTCTACTGTCACTCCCCTTCCTGTCCACACTTCTACTGTCACTCCCCTTCCTCTCTACACTTCTACTGTCAGTCACCTTCCTCTCTACACTTTTACTGTCACTCCCCTTCCTGTCTACACTTCTACTGTCACTCCCCTTCCTGTCCACACTTCTACTGTCACTCCCCTTCCTGTCCACACTTCTACTGTCACTCCCCTTCCTGTCCACACTTCTACTGTCACTCCCCTTCCTGTCCACACTTCTACTGTCACTCCCCTTCCTGTCCACACTTCTACTGTCACTCCCCTTCCTGTCCACACTTCTACTGTCACTCCCCTTCCTGTCTACACTTCTACTGTCACTCCCCTTCCTGTCCACACTTCTACTGTCACTCCCCTTCCTGTCCACACTTCCACTGTCACTCACCTTCCTGTCCATACTTCTACTGTCACTCCCCTTCCTCTCTACACTTCTACTGTCAGTCACCTTCCTCTCTACACTTTTACTGTCAGTCACCTTCCTCTCTATACTTCTACTGTCACTCACCCTTCTTCTCTGTACACAGTTCTGATTGTTGCATTACACGTCCGATACTTAATCTGCCCAGGGACAGGTTGAGGACCCTGTATACGACTTTTGGCTACATCATATGGAATGTTGACACAGGAAGCTAGGATGCCAGCACACAATCCAATCACAAAACGTCGAGCCAAATCATGCTTTGAATCCTGAAAGTGAGTAAGTAAATTTTACATCAAATTTAAAGTAAAGCACCAAGAATGTTGCCATGTACTATAACTCTATTTGGCAGACTATTGGTATCATGTATTGTAATGTTACCAAGCGCCCTAATGTGGTCATGTATTGTAATGTTACCAAGCGCCCTAATGTGGTCATGTATTGTAATGTTACCAAGCACCCTAATGTGGTCATGTATTGTAATGTTACCAAGCGCCCTAATGTGGTCATGTATTGTAATGTTACCAAGCACACTAATGTGGTCATGTATTGTAATGTTACCAAGCACACTAATGTGGTCATGTATTGTAATGTTACCAAGCACCCTAATGTGGTCATGTATTGTAATGTTACCAAGCGCCCTAATGTTGTCATGTATTGTAATGTTACCAAGCACACTAATGTGGTCATGTATTGTAATGTTACCAAGCACACTAATGTGGTCATGTTTTGTAATGTTACCAAGCGCCCTAATGTTGTCATGTATTGTAATGTTACCAAGCGCCCTAATGTGGTCATGTATTGTAATGTTACCAAGCGCCCTAATGTTGTCATGTATTGTAATGTTACCAAGCGCCCTAATGTGGTCATGTATTGTAATGTTACCAAGCGCCCTAATGTGGTCATGTATTGTAATGTTACCAAGCGCCCTAATGTTGTCATGTATTGTAATGTTACCAAGCACACTAATGTGGTCATGTATTGTAATGTTACCAAGCACACTAATGTGGTCATGTATTGTAATGTTACCAAGCGCCCTAATGTGGTCATGTATTGTAATGTTACCAAGCACCCTAATGTGGTCATGTATTGTAATGTTACCAAGCACCCTAATGTGGTCATGTATTGTAATGTTACCAAGCGCCCTAATGTGGTCATGTATTGTAATGTTACCAAGCACACTAATGTGATCATGTATTGTAATGTTACCAAGCGCCCTAATGTGGTCATGTATTGTAATGTTACCAAGCACCCTAATGTGGTCATGTATTGTAATGTTACCAAGCACACTAATGTGGTCATGTATTGTAATGTTACCAAGCGCCCTAATGTGGTCATGTATTGTAATGTTACCGAGCACCCTAATGTGGTCATGTATTGTAATGTTACCAAGCGCCCTAATGTGGTCATGTATTGAATACTGTAAGGGACATTCTCGTGATCTCTCATTCTCGACCTTTGGAAACGAGTTAAATATGCCCAAAACACGAGAATGCGAGATCGTGACAATGCAAGATTTGGCCAATTGTAAAATATCGCAATCTCGCAATCTTGATTCGGCCACAAAAACACGAAATCGTGAGAACGCGAGAATGAGACATTTCATTTTCTCACTATCTCGTGTTCTCATGTTTTAGAAGCTGTCGGTGCGCATGCGTAATATCATAAGGTCAAGGCGCATGCGCGTAGAGTAGAGTCCTCTCCCTTTAGTTTCCTATGTACTTTAAATTAAAACCCTCAACATGCTCAATATAATTGAACAAAAGAAATTGTGTACATGAACGTCCGGTGATAGTGAAAACACAAAAGTGTCCGGAAGCTGGAAACAAAATATCACTGTCAGTGAGAGAGTAAATATTGCAATAAGCCACATCAGCAGTATTGCAGCTATTTGCAGCTGCACTGTCAGTGATTTTCTCCATGAGGCAATATTATAAACTGCTAGCATATTCATTAAAACAAAATTCTCAAAAACCAATGTGTAGCATTCGGCTAAAATGAGATTGTACGATGTTTTTACACGACACCATATTCGCTACTTTCGGCCATACAAAATAAAGTAATAGATTTTCACCCTCTCCCACCTGACTACAAAACATCCCACCTTACTTTATTATATTGCCTCAAAGTTCCTAGAAATATCGCTAATATGTGTGTTCCTACTCCGTACACGTAACCCTACTGAACACGCATGATGCATGTGAATCGTCTCTTCGACAGCATTACACAGATGTCTTACAAAGCTCGATATGAAACATAATATGTTAAAAATAAAATGCGTGCCGTCTCCCATGTTTTCAAAATTCATCGCTTTGAACAGTATTTATATTTCAGTTATACCCCGGCTTGTCACAGCCAAGGGACGCAACTCTACACAGCGAATTGCGACGCCTCAGACGAGTGAGCCACTAGATGACTGTATTGGCCAAATCTCGCATTCTCGCGATTGGCATTCTCATGTTTTGAGCATATTTAGCTCGTTTCCAAAGGTCAAGATCGCGAGAATGCGAGATCGCGAGAATGTCACTTACAGTATTCCATAGGTCATGTCTTATCGTGCTAAAAAACCTGGAACATACATGTTGAGCTCCACTACTATCAAAATTTCTGAGTAATAGAACATCAGATTTAAAGATCTTGACCAAATTCAAGAGTCATCTTTGGTCCAGTGGCTTCTGAAGACAAGATGTTTGTGACAGATGACTCACAAGCATTTATATTTTCCAATGTGGCCATTGGCAGCCATATTTAATTTCTGATCAAGATGCCTTGAACAAACTTGGTACAACATAAGCTGACCATCTCACCACCAAGTTTTAAACTATATTTTGCAAAAGGTTTTTTAATTCTTTTTTTTAAATCAAAGAAGCCATATTGAAATTCCAAGCCTGATGCCTTGAATCCCCTTACAGAAACCAATAGCCACATAAAGTTTTAGCCGAATCTATCTTGCCATTTTGTAGGACTGTAACGATTCACTGACACCTTCGATATCATAGATACTTAGGTGCACATGTTACTTGAATCGGCAGTGTGTGAGATCAAGATACCCTATAAACAGAATAGAAACTAAAAGTGTTACCTCCCATAATAGCAGAAGTAGAATAGCCCCACCTGTAAGCATGACAGAACACGGACAAGGTGACTGAGGACACGCTGACTAACTGTTACATTTAATAACCATCCCATCATTTAAAACTGTTTTTTTTCTTGTGGTTTTATTGTTAAAGATTTTGAGATAACAATAAATAAATGTCGTAATGCAGTTATTTCATCATTTCTTACTTTTTGATGTGGTGTATCGTGTGACGCCAGTAGTATCGTCAGTTGGTATTGTGATACAAATCATATAGAAAGATACCAAGTGATACTCAACTCTACCATTTCAGAGAAGACAAAGAAAAACAAAACAATTTTATAGATGACAATAATGACATGGGAGAATGGCATACTCACTTTCATCTCTGGGACAACACCCTTCATGTTATGGTAGAAACTGAAGTAGATCATGTTGAAGACACCATGCCTCCCAAGAGTTGCAGATAAGCCTTTGTTTAAACCTTTCAGACCAAGGCCATCCTTGGACACAATCTCACGAGCTGTTGCAAATGAACTGCGTTGCTGAAAATATCAATGTTGTTAGTGTAAAAACGCCAATAAAGCAGAAATGATTGCAGAAGAAATGACAGTATCTAGACATGGCAATGCCCCAGAAATGACAAATACTATAGAAATGACTAAACTGAACTTGTCTGCACTCATGTCGCTAGGAAGTATAGATTATACAAAATGTATGTACAAGAAAACAACATTACAATGTCATCAACATCTTTTCCAAGCAGACAAGATCAGGCACACAACACAACTGAAAATTTGTACAAACATTTATGAAATAGTTTTTTCCAGGTTTGAACTAAATCAGGATTGTTTGAAAATCTAGACAATTTTCTTAATGTCTCTAATCCTAGTAAAATCATAGGTATTTTATATATTTGTATACTTACTGCTTGTTCTTTACAGAGAGAAAGAGTTGTGAGAGGTCTTGCTGAAGAAGTTGCTCTAAGTGGTTGTGTGGCTAACCTATCACACAGCTCCAATGTGACCCGGAAGTGGTTTTTAGCACATTACTGCTAAAACAGAGCATCTGGAGGGATCAAGAAGATTCAGCTCTGCGACGGGTGGGCCACTTCAGACAAAGTAATGCAGGATAAGTATACAAATATAAAAAATATGTAGGATTTTACAAGATTTTTTTTCACTTGTCCTGCATTACTTATAAATTCCAAAATCTCCATGGACTCCACCAATCAGCAACAGTGATGTCTGCATGTAACCTTCTAAGCATGTTTTCAAGAGCGACATCTCGCAGGTAGTGGCTGGCGAAGACGATGATGGTGCAGATAGAGCAGTTGCTATGAAGTGCCATGGTGGAGGCGACTGCCCAGATCATGGAGGATCCAGTTCTGCAGCCTCATAGGCCTGGATGATGAGGGCGTGAGGCCACAGGGCAATCCTGTTGTGGCTAATTTCTGCCTGCAAAGATGGAGATATTGGTATGAAGAGGCAACAACATTTTCCACGATTTTTGGAGCGTCGAATGAAGCACCGCAGCGCCTGTACCGGACATAGGAGTTCCTGTTTGTCTTCAATCACGACTATCAAAGATAGTGGCGGGATGGTGAAGGATCTATCAGGGTGTCCTGTGAGTTGATTCTTGGCTATGTAGACCCAGCACAGCCCAAGATGAACAGCTTCATGCACTCAAATCTGACACAGATGTCTAGGGCGTGTAGTTTGCTCACTCATGCCTCTGTTGCCAGAGCCAAGAGGAAGATAATCTTTTTGGTGAGGTGGTTGTATGATACCGAGTGGAATGGCTCAAAGGCAGAGTCAGGACCACGTTCAGAACCAGGCTAGATGTAAAGAACGTAACAGCGCCAGGAGTTTGGGGACCTTGGTCATCTTTCTATCATCCGGAACTGCCAAGACGGAGTTAAGGGCCACAAGGAGGGTCGTGGTGGTACTTGCCCAATAGATGACACTTGTAGCAAAGGAACAGAAAATATTCCGCCAAGAATTGGGGTGACGCAGAGGCAGGATCCTGGTGTTTCTCCTTGCAGAAACTCTCAAATGAGCGTCACTTGTCATCATAGAGGCACCTGGTGGTAGGATCTGAAACTGAACGTCTGCTGTAACAGGAAGGGGGAGTGAGTCGTCCCCTGGTTGCAGATGATGTTGTCTGTGGATATGGTGATGTGATCGTTTTGAAGTGTCTGCTTCCAGTGAGATAGAGCCAGGATGTGCACCTACAGTTCTAGGTTGTTGATGTGCCCCTGTTGTTGAGTGGGGGACCTTGACCCTACAGATGTGCTCCGCTGCCATGAAGTGAGGCATCAACGAACAGGTGAAATTAGGTTGTTGTCATGTTTGTTGGGGGAGCAGGAACAAAACAATTCTACAGCTTGAGTGTTTAATTGCGACTGCCACAAGCTGGCTACAGCGACACCAAGTGTCAGTGAGGAGCACATAACACTTAGTTAGAGCTAGACGAGTTAGAGTCCATATATTACAGTTGTGAGCTCAGTCATTGGCATAGGATGATGGATGATGGAGATGGACTGGTCCTGGCTACTGATGTAGGGAGCATGGAACATTTGGATAGGGCGTAGCTGAAGCCTTCCTCTGGATGTCAGGTCCTGCGCCCAGGAGCGCCTGCCATTGACGGAGAGTGCGGGATTGTTGACGAGCAGTGAGTAGGTGGTGTTGGATTCGGCGCCACCTGTCCCTGGGTACAGAGAGGAGGTCTCGGTCATTCTGAAAGTGCCTGTGATGAATTGGAGATCGTACGAGGGTATGAGCAGTGACTTCTGGACATTGATGATCCAGCCCAACTGATGGAGGAGATGCTGTGTGAAGTACCTGTGGCGGATAAGCGTGGCCATGTCTCGATGGTTCAGATGGAGGTAGGTGGCTATAGCCACAGGGCCATCAGGGTGAATAGCCACAGGGCCAAAGAAATTCCAAATGGAAGAACCGCCCATTGATAGTGGACCTGAGTGTGGACATCCGGAAATACAGCTGACGCTCCAGGTAGCGCTTGCTGAATGTTGCAAAATTGAGGAGCATTCAGTACTGGTCAAAGTCTTTCTTGGGGGCAAGGAATGTCGGTGAGTAGAAGCCTGGTGTTAGCGCCGGGAGTGTACAATCTCTTGGGCCTCTTTGGCCAGCAGTGTGTGGATGTTGGAGCAAAGAAGTCGCTGTTGTGTAGGGGGACAAGTGTCTGCTATGAGTGACGACGTCAGAGGCGGGTCGTCTCTCAGAGTGAGTTGATACCCTCGGCTCAGTATGCTTATGATGAATGGGTCCCCCAGGATGTCCGAGTTCTACCAATAGCACCTTATTCTCCCACCTACAGGGGTCTCGACAACTTGAATGGCTAGGGGTGGGACATCTTCCCGAGGCAAGAGAGTTAACTGAGTCCAGTTTCCACAATTGCCGAAATAGGCTGGTATTATGGAGTTACATTTTGGCTGGACTAACTAGTCTATGCATAGTCCAATCAAAATCGTGCACCGAAATCAAAATCCGGTTCGTAAAGTGTCATGCAGATTTCGGTCTACTGCAGGATTTGCAAAGCGTGTGCACCGCTAACTTGTTGTCAACAGATATTTTCTAAATCTTTTCATGTTTTTAATCAAGGCGCTCACGTGATTTGATGCACTTCGCGATGTAAGACTCGTTTTATCACAATATAGATCTTGATTATCGATCAGATCGTCTTGACTGTTTGAAGCAAATGCAAGTGATACAAGAGGTTGAATCTGATTGGTCAATAGGAGAGGCATAGAAAGGACATAACTCGTAATAGCCATTGGTGGCGCTACGATCGAGCCCAGGAATTCCAGCCCAGTTCGGCAAGGGTGGAAACTGGACTTTTAAAGTCAGTTAACTCTCTTGCCTCGTGAAGATGGGGGTGGGAGGTCCCAGTCGGTGGTGTCCGTCGTAACAATGCTTCGCTTTTGGTTCCCCCTCACGCCACAGGAATGGTCATGGCGTGGTTTGTTGGTGCCGGAGTGCCCACGGTTCTGCCATTAAAGGCTGAGGTGTCACGTCTTCGCTCCTTGAGGGAGTTTCTCCAAAACTGGTAATTGCAGGTTATTGATGCTTGAAGGAGTTGGCATGAGTCATTTGCTACAGGGCCTGGAGGGCAGTCTTATCTCTGGCGAAGTTGGAGACACGAGCATGAGTAGCAGAGACTTGGCCATTGAAGACCAGGGTGGGCAGAGGTGGCTGCATGCATGTGGGCTCTCATAAGGTCGATCTGGCGCTGTTGATAAGCCATGACCAGGGCCAGGTGGTCAAGGCAGTTGGAGGTGGAAGCCATGATGTAGAGGGGCTTAATGGAATGAAGGATCTCAGTCTCTATGTAGGCCAGCCAATTGTCTGACACACGGATGAGGAGTGAGCAGTTAGAACCAGTCACGCGGTGTAGGTCGTCATCCAGTGTGTGAGCCGAATCCACAAAATCCAAGGCATGGGCTGGGAAGTCGTCCTTCCTGTATTTAGGCACCTTGAAGGAGGGTGTCAATGAGAGCTTGGCAAAGTCTTCATCCAAAGTGTGTCCTTGATTATGGGGTCAGGAGGGACGGATGTTGGATGGGACTAGACAGTGTCCATCACGCCACGTTTGGACCAGGTATAAGAGACAAGGAATCCAGACAATCTGGCAGCCAATCTGGAAACTGGTTGAGGGCAAGGTGAGAGTCGAGGTCAGCATAGGAGTCATCATAAGTGGGAATGAAGGAACCCTCCTGGAGAGCGACTACGTACAGGGAGGACTTACTCCCACTACGCGTAGAGGTGGGAAAGGAAGAGCCGTGAGATGATGAAGAAAGATTGTAGAGGTGCCACTGAGATCCACTGGAGGCGCCGTCCGAGGTGTCAAAGGTGACACTGAGGATGGAGGCACCGTAGGCGCCGAGAGCGTTGCAGAGGCTGGTGGTGCCGAAGGAGCTGTGAACCTAGGCACTGCTTGCTGGAACTTTGTCTGCATCAGATGAAACCATGCAGGATGTGTGTAGGGCTGGAGAGGCGACTGGAGAGGCATTGGGAGGAAGGATGGAAGTCTGATGCGACTGAAGTGCCAGTGCCATTGGTGCCATGGAGAACTGGTAAGACGCAAGGAGAGACGAGCTCAAGGTTGTCAGCGCCACGTCGGGCATCACCGAGGATGATGATGACGTGATAATCAACGAAGCGAGCCTTGATGACGGTGCCAGTGACGTATGGTGGAGAGGAGATGGTAATCATCCCTGATGGAGATACAGGTGTGGAAGTGAACACTGGAGGAACCCCGCCTGAAGAGAAGGAAGTCGTAGCTTGGGTGTTGTCTACACGGATGAGTCGGACATTTTAATGAATGAACCATATGAAAGATATGAAGTCACAAACCGTTGGCACAAATAACAATCACAAGGAAACAAATGGTATTGAATACACTCTAAAGAATTCAAAGGTCTCAGCACAGCTGAGACTCAAAACAGGTGACTTGTGTCTGTGGGTGACAGCAGTAATGTGGTGATCAGACACGTCACCACTTCCGTGGTCACATTGGAGCTGTGTGATAGGGTTAGCCACATAACCAGTTGGAACAACTTATTCTTCAGCAAGACCTCTCACAGCTCTTTCTCTCAGTCAAGAACAAGCAAAAATGCATTAAGGAGTAATGCAAGATAAGTTAAAAAATTTGGGCTATTAAAAGCAACTTCATTTTAACATGCCACGTTTAACATAATAAGTTGTAGCCGGATTACGAGGGGTCCATGGAGTTTATGTGTCCAACAAGTTTTAATATGACATAGCAAAAGAAATAAAACAAATTCAAAATTGATAGAAAACAGCTGGTTGACTGAGATGAGGTTAACTTGTGCTATGTCACAGGCCTTTAATTGACTCGGAAAAAGCGTGCAGCCATTTGCTTTGAATTTCGGTATAAGGGATATATTCTGCCCCTCAGAAATCCACTTGTAGCCCGACTTGCTCATATGGCATTTATTCTCCCACTGATAAATTGATTTCCCCAAGCAGGGAATGAAAATCATGTCATTCTGAAATGGAGTTATAATGTATGATAATACTAATTACAAATCAGTTATCTCTTTTCCATCAAATGATGGACAGATAAACGAATAGTAAAATTCATCACCTTTGTTACATAATTGGCAGAGAAGGCATTTTTTCCGCTAATGGTATTTACCTCCATCTTCCTGTTTCAATTGATAAATTGTGTTAGGAGGTTCTAAGCTTAGGTAAAATTGTAAAATGAAACTGTATTAAGCAAATAGTTTTCAAAACTAAACAATTGTTTTTAAACATTCTGTACATGGATGATGTGGAGGATTTATCTTTTGCAGCTATCGAGGATTGCAAGTTGATATCATTCAGTTTATCCATAACTGTTTATTTTAGATAACCTTGACTTTGAACATTTTGTGATGTCCATATGTAATTTAGACCGTGTTCGTCAAAAATTTGTTTGAGACATGTTACACATGTCTACATGTTTCCATTAAATCCTCCATTATCTGTAATATTTACATGAAGAAATAGAATTTCCATGTTCTCCCAGACACAAGTCTAGCCCAAAAGAAACATTTTTATTTGTGAGAGCGAGAGAGAAAGAGATGAGATCTTCCATTTCTACAAAACTTATGTCACAACAAACTTATTCACATTGTAAATGTTTCCTACATAATGCCTTTTACAAAGCAAAGAGACCTGGATGATACAAATGACAGACGTAACATCCAGGACGTGATACAGTATAGTATTGGTGATATAAAGATTTTCAAAACATAGAGTTAAACACTGTTGTGTCACAACTGAAAATGATGAATAAGAGCACCATTCAGGGACCAAGCTTTTACTTCGAAACAAGTCTACGTTCAACACAACAGTATTTGACTGTATCTCATTACGGTAAAGAAGAATTTGCATAACAATAGCATCAAAATGTCGCAGTCATCATTTGTCATGGCATAGAACATAATACATCGCTTTAGTGGCTTGTTCCAATATATTTTGCTACGTACTACTAAATTGAAGACTTTTTTGCAAGATAATACCAAGGGGTTTGTTTATAGGAATCCACATTTTCTAAAGTATATTCATCAACATTGAAAGTTTTTTTGCAATCACAGTTAAATCTGCTAAAATCATTACATTAGTAATTGGAAATATTAATACTCCAGTTTTCACAAAATCTATAAAATGAGTCGAACATATTTTGTAAATCCTTTGCATTTGAAGCAAACAAAACAGTGTCATATGCATTTAATACTATAAACATAGTATTAACATTTTCAAGAGTCCTTTGTGAGTGATGTTTCCAGATCAAAAAGGAACAATTCAAACAAAAGAGGTGACAAACTTTCTGCTTTCCTTACACCAGATTTACATATTAACATGGGAATAAATTTGTAAGATTTCCATCAAAAGAAATACATGATTTAATAAGGTTGAAGCTGTGGTCAGGCTTGTTGACTTGGTTGATGCAAGTCATCATATCCTAAAGGTATAGATCGATGCTCATGATGTCAACCACTGGATTGTCTTGTCAAGATTTGATTATTTACAGCCTGCCCTCATATACCTGGAATACTGCTGAGTAATAAACAAATAAACAAACATAATAAGGTTGAAACGACAAGAAGTCGATTAAAAATTGAATGTCCCGACTGTTGACTGAAAAACTATTGACATCCTTTTCTTGCTTTGAAAAAGATTCATTTAAATATTATGCTGATAAATATTGACATGACTGTATATCCTTCTATTTTCACAAGTTCTATTCGTAAGACTTTGCCAAAAACATGTATTGATGTTTACGAAAACTTAACCACAATGGATATCCGGTAAAAGGCTAAACACATGGACGTAGTGTGACAAGGGATGGTTTCAGAGTCCTTGTACAAACTCATATGTGCCAAAGAATGCATCTGATTGAACTACAGATCCTTCAGGACAAATACAATTAACAAAGCAGAATACAAACAAATCTAAATTATCCAGATCGTTATTTGACACACGATGTAAAATTGCAAGTTTCCTTTGAAATGGTCCCCATGAAGTAGCAACCAATGAAAACCAGCCTCAAGAAGTCAGGAGGCGACTGTCAATATTGGTATTGATGTTTACAGCCCAGTTGTGGAGGACGACTGATATGCCATACGCAAAATGAGGTTATCCAACATGGATTAAAGTTTATATTGCAGTGTGTTTCTATTTTCCGAAAAAGCTATAAAGTCCCTTTACGTGTGCCACACTGATAGCCTACTTGGTTCCGATAAAATAATAATACTGTAAGATAAATATTTTTAATGACTTGTGATTGTGTTATGTACAAGAATAAACAAGGTTGTCTGCATGTATCTAAGTATTTAACTTAGATTTCATTAAGAATTTGCTTGTGGGGTTATTGATGTTTGCTTGTAGGCGACTATGAATAATCAACAAGAAAATTATGACCACACAGCTCCATAATTGAAAATTCATTTGGGATCAACCATGGGTATCATGAAATTAAGACTCAAAGGGTTGATTTATGTTTCAACAAGTCTTTATGAATTAACAAATACAAAGGCAGTCAAAACAAGCAACGAGTCAACTGTTGGTTGACTTCTGCTTCCAGTGAAAGTGTCAAGTGTGCAGTGGCCAATACATTCAATGTTTTACAGTCTGTGATTAGCAGACTATGGAACAGGTACCAACAAATCCAAAATGTTGATGATCAGACCCGTTCAGGGAGTGAATGACATGAGCGCAGGATCAATTGATCCCGAAATCAGGCTCTACAAAATTGCTCACAATTGGTAAATCAAATTGCTGCAAACATTCATCAAGCTACTGGAGTACGAGTTATTATCATCACACATACAGTTTTGTTCATTTACAGTCTATCTAAGGCCATCCCTTGAATTCTGCTTGAGATGAAAGTGGAGTTATAATTCCTTACCATGGCATATGAGTTCCTTTCTGATTGAAGCTTCACTTTGACAACTTCAAAGGGATTGATGACCACTGCCTCTGTTAGTCCTGAACATAGTCCTGACAGTGTCAACACCTGTAAAAGAGCTTATATCAGATACACTGTGTGACTCTTTGGTGATGTCTGATTGCTGCTCACTCACTGGTTTGGTTAACATTACTTTGCTGACTTATGGTTCCTTCACTTTGCCTTTAAGTATACCATGGAGAATGAACCAGGAGCAACTACAACAAGAGTTTGCCACTAACGTGGCTATATCCCCCGCCCCTGTTGCAGAATTTATGACATAATTAAATCTAAACAAACCCTAATCTTTTTTAACCGAGGTGGAACTTGTCATGGAAATTGTACCTGCAAAGTTTGATGAAAAAATATTGAACGGTTTATGAGTTATGCTCCGGAAACGAACCCTACCCTCACAGAACCTAAGTCCATCTTGTTGCCATGGAAACGCAAAAAAATAAAAATTTCTAAATAGCAAAAGGCACCAGTTCAGCATGTACCTGACAGACCTGCAAAGTTTGATGAAAACATAATGAACGGTTTATGACTTATGTTCCGGAAACGAAACGTGACGGATGAACGGACGGACGGACGGATGGACAGATGGACGGAGCCCATTTCTATATCCCCCGCCAACTTTGTTGGGCGGGGAATAGTAATGTTAAGTTAACCAAACCAGTGACTGGGTGAGTGGGCAGCAATCAGACATCATCATAGAGACAACAGTCAGCTGGATCTAGACATACACAGGACTTAGGACCTTCTCATCCATGATAACACTGTTGTTCACCAGGTAGTTGCATGAGTGAGTGGGGTTTAATGCCACTTTTCAAATGGCCATCCCATTGAGAAGAAGGTAAATGCAATGACCTGATGTTCAAACAGGTGCACCTGGCACTCATTCCTACTCGCTGGGTCGCAGATCATCTGATTCTGTGTGGACCAGTAATATCAAGGTGATCACCTTACAAAACATGTAAAAAGAAATTTACATTTGGATACTTATCCTGCATTACTAACTTAATGCTTCTACTGCTGTTGTGTGACTAGGAGAAGTAGCTCTGAGAGATCCTGCCTACAGAAATTGTTGTACCAACCAGTTGTGTGGCATACTCCCACACGAGGGAGAGTACGAGGTGTGAAATCCAGTCATGGAAAAAGAAAAAGTAGAAAAGGGAGGCAGCCAACTTCCAAATTCCAATTCAAGCAGCTGGAATAAGAGGAAACATGAAACCCTCCAGTCTGGGGTAATTTCTACCAGAGAAGTGGCACGGTCAGTTCCGAGCTGTATGAGACAAGACCGTCTGGGGTGTGTGACCTGCTGCACCACCACCAGGGAACCGGAACTACGAACACCTTGCACAACTTCAAGAGCCACGCCAAGGAGAAAAAGACTGGCAAAGACAGTATCCGAGTGCCAAAAACAAGTTGAATCTTAGCAATTAAATCCCAGCACAGCCCAAGGTGCACAGCACCGTGCACTCTAAGTTTGAACCGTACTTGTTGAATTGAGCTGCAATAGCCAACACCAAGTGAATTATTTTTTGGGTAAGATTGAAGAAAGAAGAAGTGGTTCAAAGGGAGCATTACAGAGTGACTTCAATACCATGTTCAAATCCCAGGATGGGGGACGAAAATTGGCACATTGATCCTCCAGACAAAATGACCGCAAAAGTGACTGAAATTCCGGTATCTTGGTCATTCTGTGATCCGTAGAAACAGCGTAGAGGTGCTATTAGCACAGGAGCAGAAGCCGGAGGAATACTGATTAATGGTTGAAAACCTGGAGGCTCTGTTGGTGCTGATGGCACCGGAGTAACAGATATGCTATGGGAATAGTGAAGACCAGAGGTGCCAGAGCAGCCATAGGATCCATAGGAACTGCCTGAGCCAGTGATGACAGGTACATGGATTGCATCTAATGAGGTGAGGTGAGGTGAAATAGGGTTTAACGTCGCGTCCAAGATTATTGCACTTATATAGCGACGTGCATGTACGTGTGTGTTTGTGTTCTAGTCGGGACTGATGCCGATTTATAGTGCTAGCTCACTGAGATACCATGCCGCAGTTTAACATGAATATCCCACTCAGACACAGTATACTGACTCCGAGCCGACCAGTCCTTGTTTTAGCCCCTTAATGCCGAGCGCCAGACAGGGTAACAACAAGTACCATCTTTTAACGTCTGTTGGTATGACGTGGCTGGGGATCGAACCCCGGACCTTCCGCTCTCCGGGCGGACGCTCTACCACTAGACCACGGAGGCGGTCCTTGCATCTAATGAATCCAGGTGGGATCCAAATATGGTGGAGGGAACGAGCTGAAACCAGGAGGCATGAGAGGCGGCAGTGCTGGGCTGCAGGTGCCAGACGAGCTGAAGACAAAGAGGTGACCATAGGTGTGGACACAGTGGGCATGAATGCAGTAGACGACGGTGGGGAGGAGAGGCACTGCTCCAGTAGTGATGATTGTAGCATGGTAGGGGATAATAACACCTCAGTGTCGATGTTGTCCGATGTCGGAGAAGTGTCCCTGTGGTTAGCCATCTGGGGATGCCTGCGGGCATGTTGGGTGTGTCGAGAGGGGAGAGAGATCAGCAAAACCCGCAGCGTGACAACGTAGAACAGGCAGCCATACGATCAGTGCTCTAGGGTTGGGGAGCCCTGGCTGATTGTGAGCAACGGGTCATATAATTTTTAATGGAATAGACAAACTTGCAAGCAGAATAGACACACATAATAACAAAGATTGGCAGGCACGTAATTATGACTCAAACTTTTAGAAAGTTTACGAGAGAAAATTACGATATAAAGAGTATAATTATATACTTAAAAAGCCCAGAATAGAAATATATATAGCACATGAACAAGCACTAAGATAGACATATTGAAATATCAAAGCACAAGACAAGCAAAACAAGATGGCGGATGGAACAACACACGCACAAAAAAAGCACAGGAAAGAGCTGAAATCAGGCGACAATTACGCTAAGGTAACCTGAACGGACCACGCTAGTACACCAGACAATAAAATATACAATTGAGATCATATTGGTTGTCAAAGGAAAGGATGCTATCTTGTTCTTCAAACTGGAGAGGTATATTTTCAAACATTTCTCAATCTGATGACAAGCAGTGATGAGAGTATATGTGACATTGCCACTTCCGGTCACAGGGTAGCTGTGGGAGGGTGCTTCCCACACAACTGGTTGGGCAACAATTTCTGTAGCCAGGACCTCTCACAGCTCCGTCTCCTAGGTCAAAGAACAGCAGTAGAAGCATTAAGGTATTAATGCAGGATAAGACAAAAATTCTAGCGCATTTAACCTGAACCCCAAAACAAGCATATTTTGTATAAAAATAAAGCACAAATTCTTTTCCATTTTTTGGGGGGGGGGGGGGAGAATGCGTGTTTCAGTGACTGTTGAGTAAACACATAGTTAAACAAAACTAAGCCGACAAAATTAAAACATAGTTGTTTAATTACAAGACTCCCATTGTCTCACATATCACCAGTTTGGTGTCAACAAACTAAATGGCAGTCTGATGGAGTTATACTTGAACTAGCATCGTATAAAAAAGGAAGACAAACACATTCTTATTGCAAATGTATGGATTGTGTGTGCGCTGGTGATGTGCTTCAATCTGAATCGTTTTATCAATGAGGTTCGGGGGGGGGGGGGGTCGTCTAAGCAGTGTATACTGGATTGAGGTCATCCATTATGGACCATACTTATTTACAACCCAGTAATTTTTACCAGTTTTGTTTTGTTTCAGTTTTTTTATCTTTTACATATTGTATGACTAAATTTCTCTGTTTATTCAAAGATAAGATTCAGTTAAAAACAGACAGAATCTTGTGCCTCATGAAAGATGATAAAAGGAATATGTATATTCCTGATTATCTAATTCCTTCTCAATGGATTTTCATTGAAAGAAATACTAAAGAATTGACTTTCACTTCATGTGAATTAATTGGTTATGAATGTTTATAGAGTGTGGGGCCCAACTGTATGTACTTCTTAAAAGAGAAATGATATGAGTGTATGTACTCTAAAAATGTCTTAAGGAGTTTTATAATAGCTTATATAAGCCAGAGGCAGTACTGATAGTGATACCATCAATATGTTGAAAGCTACTGAAACCCCATTATTATCAAATACAATAATGAAAAGTTTAAACATTTTTTACCGACATTGGAGAATAAACCCAGGTAATAAAATCAATGAAGAACAACAAAAACCCAGGCATAGATGGATTACCTTATAACTTTTATTGAGAAATAGGAAAGATTTGATTAAATGAATACATTGTATTTAGATACATTAAGAGATTCATTTCAAAACAAGCATGAAATACTCATATCCTAATATGACATGTCAGGTGTGCAAGCCATTAGACCTCCGGAAACGAGCACTACCACCATTTTCAGTCTCAGTCTAAGATGTTGCTACGGAAACTCAAAATTTATTTTTTTTTAAATCCCAAACTATCAAAAAACACCAGTTTACCACTACATCTATCTATGTGAGTAGTATAGGTAATGGGGGTTCTACCGCAACTCCACTGGAGCCGGATTCATATACCTATACTGCTACTACAGATGGCATTTTTTATGCCAAAATGACTATGCGATTTAACGATAGTCATAAGATTAACCCTAGCTCACCAATACCTGGGGCCAATCATTGCTTCTATTAGTATAAAAATGATGATGTGATTCAACGAAAGTCGTTTTAAAAGAAATATCAATATTAATTAATAATGGATAAAATTTACTATAGCCCACGAGGATATTGGAAAGGTGTAGGAGCAATAAAAAAATTAGCCACCACGGCTAAGGTATCTAAAGATGTGGCCAAGGATTGGTTAAAGAAACAAGCGATGTGGCAGATATATTTACCGGCACCGCGTTATATACCGAGGAAGAAGTTTGATATTTTTACAACGAATGAAGTTCATCAGGCTGACCTCTTGTTTCTTCCCCACGATAAGGTAAAACGCAAAACGTATAAATACGCTTTAACCGTAGTGGATGTGGCTAGTCGATACAAAGAGGCTGAGCCATTAACA